TCCTCCTCCTCCTCAGGAATGTTGTTGTAAGAGCTTATTCATTTTGTTATGGGTCCGTGCTGCCCGGTTTTGCTGAACATGCGTTGGCAGCTCAGGAAAGGATATTAGGAGAATGACCAGAGATCTGGAAAGCCTGCCTATGGAAGCTCAGTCTAGTGAGCTCGTTGAAGACAATGACCTAATCATATCCTAGATATTCTTTGAATAAAGAAGAGCTTTCAGATTAGTGGATTAATGGCTTTTTCCTCTACCTGGAAAAGAGTTGTGGTTTCTTTTTCTGGTCCCATCTGAGGTTTTCATTGCTTTTAGTCTTTAAAGTTTAAGCTTTTTTAGTTCTGGATTCAGGAGAGGGTCTTGTGGCCTGTGTGGGTAGGAGATGGTGTGCAGCAGACTCAGTGCCTGCGATTGCATGCAGGTAGGTGCAGAGATCTCCCTGCTCCTTCTAACCCAATATGTGTGTGAAGATGAATGCGGCTTTGAGTGAAGTTGTCACTGGGAAGGTTTTCAGCCAGTGCTGTGTGAGAGGTCACCTGGGCCACGGTCCTGCTCTCTGGCCATCAGTCCTTGACCACAAACTGGGCTCAGTAGGCAAGGGAAGCTCTTCTTCCATCAAAGAAGTTTCTAGTCTTTCTATACCAGCAAGGCCTGGCTTTAAATGTTCTTAGTGAGGCTGTGCTGTGTGCGAGGAGCCTTTGGAAAGCTCCTAGATACGTTCTCAACTGTGAGGACACTAGATAGGCAGTGGTAAAATCCAGCCTAGTGTGTGTCCTGGAATTACTTCTCATCCCTCTTTATAATGAATGAGAGCTCTTTGGCTACAGTCTTTCTAAAGCTGTAATGCAGAGGGATCCCAACATGCAAGAGTCCCTTCTTAGACAGTTACATTCAAAATACCCCCTAGGGACTGCTAGAGCTATTTATAATCATCCCCTGGAATACCAGGATTAAATTCTAAGTGGAAAACAAATAAATAAACAGTGCTTCTCCCTAATGCCTATTTACTCACCATAGATCAATGGAACATTCAAGGATGAAATTGCTTTTCTTAGAGTATTAAAAATGTATTTAAAATAAATTTTATTATGAGAATGAATATTGTTTGCTCTGGAGGGGTGAGGGGGTAGCGCAAGTGCGGGTATCGTTTTCTGAGGTGAAAGAGAAGCATTTAGGGCAGGAGAAGGGCAACCGAATTAGGGGATGTTTCATTTTGGTTCTCCAGTCTGGCATCTTGCTAGGAGAAGCAAGATGCTGTCGTGACACCCCTTGGGGCCACCTCGTTTTGGAAAGGTCCTGCCGCTTCCCCCCTCCTTGCACGTTGTCCAGAAAACCAAGGATCACCACGTGCATAAGAACTAGAACTGGGCTTAACTGTGCGTTGCTTCTGGCAGAAAAGCGTGCAGATCTAAGGCAGGCTTGTCCCAATATTGTACTGTGGTGTGGCTGCTGATTCAGAAATGAGGAGTTTAGGGCGTTTTATGTAATTCTAGAATGATTTGGAGTGCTGTGGATTGAGGGACTGGTCACTGCCACCTCATAACCAGAGCTCCTTCTTTTCATGTTTGGGGAAAGAAAATGCACAAAAAAAAAAATATTAGCAGCCACAAAACGTGAGAACAGCCATTGCAGGATATAAAACTGGTTTTGTCAGACCATAACAAGCAGTAAATGTCCAGGTGAACTGAAGACCTGTGAAATGAAAATCTAATCTTTAAAATATATTGTACTTGTATAGAACAGGTTTTTTCCTCTCTCTCTCTGCCTCTCTCCCCCTTTTTCCTCCCTCCACAGTTCTGAGTTAGTCTTAGCATTCTTGAAGGCTAATATTATTGCTTTTGTAATGACCAATACCGAGATCTTGAATATAGAGCTTTTATCGAGCAATGATTGAGAAAGTTTCTCTGTATTTTATACATTGGAACTATATGAGCCTATAAAGGTTCTCTTAAGAGCTCCTGTGTATGCTGCTTGCATCTGCCATATCCTTTTATTATTTTTTTCTTCTCACCTTGATATGATTTATGCCGGTCCATGTCTGTCTCTGTCTTTAATCTCCTTCCTGCTGCAAACTCCACCTGAGCTGTGTGTGTTGTGATGGGAAGGTCACTCGTGGTTCAGGGGGGCAGTGACAGAAGCACTCTTGAAGCAGAGCTACGGGAGCGTTGGGCTCCTGGTGGCTGAAAGCTTCTGAAGAGGAAGGAAAGAAACAAATTGGAGCAGTAAGTAGTGGAGAGGTGCCTGAAGGGATGCGGAAAATACATATAGTGGCAAAGGCAGACTGCTGAGGTCTATAAATGATGCACAGAACTGAGGAGGGTAAGATGCAGTGGGGGACTGATAGATATATATGATATATATATATAGTTACATATGATGGGCTTCAAAATCCTGCAAGTGTCTGGAGAGGTTACATGAAAAAGCAACTTTGCATTTGGGATAAAAGGCATTGCTAATTGATAAGCTATAGAGGAAAATGAGCAAATGAGCTCTGTGTGTGTCAGGACGGGAGGGGATGGATTTCTGTCAACATTGCTGCAGAATCGGAGTTTTGGGGTGGTTGCTAGCGAAATGCTTACGGCTGGAAATTGCATTTTTTAAACTCTTCCTCCCTCCCTCCCTCCCTTTCTCTAATTTAAATGTCCTTTGTCCCATTTGCTGCGTTAGACTTACAGTTCTTGCTCTAGGCTTGTATTAAAAGTTGGCAGTCGCGGCTGGAGGAAAACTAGGGGATAGGTCAGATGCTAATTAATTTCATGCTAATTGTGCCATAATTTGAAATCCAGTGGATTAGTTTCTGTGGGAGAGCCGAAATGTATGGAAAGGCAAAAATGGGTGAGGGATAATTAAGCTCCATAAAATTGCCTGGGATTCTTTAGGACGAGAAAGATTGCGTGTTGCTTTTATTTTATTTCTCCTGAAAACATTTTAAAGGTGCTTGTGCTGCAGGGAAATAACCTAAGAGAAGTAACCTCGCAGCTGCCTGATCCCTCGGCGAGGTTTAGCCGGGTTCGGTGGGGAGAGATGGACCAGGCCCAAAGTCCCGGAGCTTCTGGGTGGATTTGGGGGCATATCCTTGATCCCAGTAAGAACGGGAGCGGGGCGCTTTCCCAGCCCAACCTTTTTATTTTGCTTTCTCCTCGTGGGCACCGAGCAGGAGCTCAAAGAGCATCACGAAGCAGAAGGCTCCGCTATGAATTGCGCCTGGCACAGATATGATTTAAAGGTAGTAGCTCGTCTGATGTAAGTGCCAGACAGTGAAATAGAGGGGCAGGAAGCGGCAGTGGAGGGAAGTGCAGGATCGTTTGCCTTCGGGAAGCTCGGCCCCACGGGCAGGGGCATCGAGGGGCGGAAAGCCACCACAAACTCGGCACGCTTCTGGAATTAACGGGAAGCCAATCAATAGCCCGACGTGGTGCAATATAACAACATGGTCCTGGGAGCTCCATCGCAGTGATTTGTCTCTAAGCCGATATTCTGGGATTGCTATTAGAAGGGTTTTAGGGATAATAACAGCAGTTAAAAGGCAGCTTTAATTCCCACCAGGTTGTTGGGTTTCACTGCAACCAGTCTGGAGCTGCGCTGGGAAGCAGGTAGTGGCAGCCCTTGAAAGACTGTGTTTTCTTTAGCTTTTTTTTCTTTATGGACCAGCGGGGCCCTTGGAATATTTGAGATGGTTTTTAAATGGGGTCAGGGCTGAAAAGGAGGAGAAAGCGTTTAACCGGCCTTGCTTTGCTAAAAGAGCTCCCGCCTTTTTTGTTCCCCCCTTCCCCTCTCTCCCCAGCAAACTGCGACCATATGGGAGTCTGCGAGTCAAAGTTCAGAAGCCAGCCAGCTGCCTTAGGTTTCTGACAGCAACAAATCATCTTGTGGTGAGGGCTTGCTTATCTTTGATAACCCATGCGTCTAAAATCAGATTATGTGTATTTTTCTCAACTTTGTGGGTAAGTTTTACCATCCTGGGCACGCACCCCTCACTCTCTCACTCAAGCTGCCCATAACTATTTAATGATGATGGTTGTGTCGTCTGCATAAGTACCTGGTTCCTGCTCGGAGGCTTCTGCTCATCTCAAATTCTGTCTCTGCGAGTGCCGGTCGTGGAGACTCCACAACTGAGCACCCTGGACCCGAATCGAGATTCACGTCCCCAGGGTTTCGTGTCGTCGACCTTGCAGGATCCAGCATCCAGCCTTTGGCCCCAGCCATTTCTTGCTCCTCAAATGCGCTGGACATCCTGGGACTCATCTGTGCAAAAAAAATTGCCCCCAAAATTGGCTGAGCTGCCTATGCTGTAAGGACTGCAGCTTAAGCGGGACTCTGCTTGGGCAAACTGCATTGGTCTGGCTTGTCCCTTCCCTGTCATCCCAGGTGAAATCTCAGCTTCCTTGTCCTGGGGATCCGAGTCCTCTTCCAAATCGGAGGAAGAGATGACTGAGACTGCAGATGATGGAACCCTGGTCTTAAAAAAAAGAGACGTCCCTAAGCAAAGAGTTCAGGGTGAAGAGAGATATTCAGTCACAACTTGGACTTCAAATAAGGCTTCCTCAGTCAACAAGCATTGCCAAAACACAGAACCAGAAGTATTCTGTGCCAGGTATTACTTGGGAGATGTCGGGGATTGCTGGAGAAGCAGAAGAAGCCAAAGATGAAGTCTGAGCACTGAAGGGAGCAAAGAGGGATGGGATGATGCCATGGGGCTGGGAGGAAAAACATCCATATGGAGCAAGCCTGGAGGTACCAAGGAGCACCCTTAAGTGGAGATCATCATCATCCTGGGGTGCTGATCGTTTCCTCCTCTAGTTCCTGCAACTGGGAAGACCAGAGGGCATTTAAATGAGAAAAGATAGATGCTGAGGTAGGAGAAAAACACAAAGCAAAACATCAAACAAGAAGGTGAAGGGGAGAAAAACCAGGCCTGGAGACACGAATGGGGGAAGGAGCCACATCTGAATACCCTGTAGCATAGATGAGATGCTGTCTCCTCTTTTCCTGAAGTACCTGGCTCCTCCTCAGAGAGCTTCTGCCTCGTTCCTGACAGATGGACCTACTCTGTAATTATTGTGAGCTCCCTTTAGCCTCTCCCTTGACTCTCCTCCTACTTTTTCCCCAAGAAGATCACAGAGCAGCTGATATTTTGCCTGGCATTCCTTTCTAGAGCTTTCTAGCCTGCACCTGGGCCCAATTACAGTCAAGATGACTACAGCTGGCACTAGGTATCAGCAGAGAAGGGAGCCTGCTGGACTCAGGTGAGTAAAAATAACAGGTTCTGGTTTGTTGCAAACACTTCTGTTGAGCTCCTCCTCGCCAACGCTGGACTGTGGTTCCTGTGCGAGCTTCTTGCCGTTGTTTTTCAGAGGTCTCAGGGTAGGTAGCTGAAGGATTTGAGGCTCCCTGTTGCATGCAGTGTGTGTGTGGATGAGGCCAGCTTGCAGAAGGTTTTGGTCCTGCACGCTGCCTCTTCCCTGGTTCGGAGGACAGGGAGATCTTACGTGCCCAGTGCTGAGCCCCTGTGGAAGGCCAAGCCTGGACAGCTGTTCAGCAATGCTGGCGAGCTGGAAATTAATATCCTGGAGGAACGAGCTGACCTGTGCTTTCCAATGCCTCATGACCACATCAGGAAGGCCTAGGATTCAGCTTCACTACGGTTCCTTTCTGAGAGCAGAAACCTAGAGTCCGATTTCTCCATATTTCTATATTATCTCTGTGTGGCTTGTGGCACGTGCTGTGGCCCCCTCAGTGCTCGTAGCTGAGCTGCCGTGGGCCTGGAGCAGGTCACTCGGTGAAGATCTGCAGTGCTTTCTCCTTCATGGCTTCAGGGGGGCTCTTCAGGGTGATAGGGGCTTGCTTATCAGCTCCTGCCCAGCACCTGGTGTCGCTAGATAAGGGGAAGGAAAAAGGAGGCATCTCCAAAGGCTCACGCACGCGTTTAGTTAGGCCTGTAACATCGTGTTGCTGTGAGGGGGTTTTGAAGGCCTGGAGATGGCATTGTGCGCCGCTTTGAAAGCTGCCAATTGTTGTCAGGATGTTGACGATTATTTTCAATTTGTTTTGTTTTGTTTTTTAATTGTGGAAATGTTCCCAGAAGCTTAGTAAATGAGGACATGTTCTTATAAATATTCAGCTAAGAAGTTAAGGCTCGCAAGGCCCAGCTCTGGTTATGAAACCTTTTCCTTCAGCTTGGTGTCCCTTGTCTCTTGGAAGGCCTGGGTTTGCAAGAGGTGCTCCTGGTTGCAGGAAAAGGCCATTTCCCTGAGCCTGCAAAGGACCTGAGCTCGGAGAGTGCTACCTTTAAAACAGACGTGCAGCCTCGCAAATGGATTTAATCCCACTCTAACAGATGGCTCTGCTTGTAGACGTGGGATGCCAGAAAACCACAATGTATTCTGTAGGATATTTCCAAGCCCTATGCAAAACTGCTCAACCAAAAACTTGGTCTTAAACAATTAAAATCAGGGATGTGTTTGCAGAGGTGTTATGCGGTTAGTTCTCTTTCATCCCATAGAGATTTCCCTTTTCAGGGATGATGGAGCTTGTTGAATGCTCTGGGTGTCCGTTGCGTTCCAAAACAGTCAGCAAAATACTGTCCCGGGTGGCTTCGTGAGATCTCCTCCTCCTCTTGTGCGTGCTTGAGATCAAAACGGGGCAATTTCCTCGCAGTGAAGAAATAATTGGTGATTTTCAATAGTGTGGTGGTGACATGGGAGCTTTGGAGAATCACCACAAAGCCAGGATCCGAGAGCCAAGTGGGAGCTGAAAAGGTCTGAAATAGTTGGCAGGTTTTCAGCTTCTCGCTGGCATAGTTGTATGAGTCCCATGGAGAATGTGGGACTTCTACCCCTGCTCAGATTGGCCACTAAAAAGATCTCTCTGCACTTTCTGGTTTATGTAGCTGACCTTAATGATGTGTCTGTGGGTCCTACTTGGTGACATTGCAGAAGGTATTTGCTAAAAGAAAGGTTAGAAGAAGACCTGATATACATATATATATATATATATGTTATTCCTCAGTGATGTAAAAATGCAAATTAAAAAGAAAACAATAATCCCGTTCTTTCCTACAGGTTTCATTCATTTTTATTTTGCTTTAAAAGAGCATTCCCAGTAATTAGCAGGAGCTGTCTGCTTCTTGAGGGCCAACAAAGCGCAGCGGGTGCGACGCAGAGGACGAGCTGCGCCGGCTGGGAGCGTGAGTGGCAGACTGCAGCTCTGTTTCTGCAGACTGGCGTTTCCAGTCCCTTGCATTTCAATTCTGCAAACTGTTTTTCATGGAAAGAGAGGGAAATAAAGCTTGCAAGTGTGGGAGGTTTTGCTTTTCTGCTGGTAAGACTGATGCTGTGGGTGCATTTTTGGAGCAGTAAGCTATGCTGACTTCTGCCAAAGAAACACCTTAATTTACACTATTATGAGGTTCAATGTATTCAGTTGCCTCTGTGGAAAGCAAATGGATTAGAGGAATTATCCAGAGTCCTTCTCCGTATGCTTTCCTTCCATGGCACCGTAGCAGAGGAGCATAGGGAGTGGGATGTCGCTGTAGTGGGAAGGCAAAAAGAAGGAAACCTCAACGAATTGCTGATGAAAAGGAGGGGGAACCCAAGTCTGTGCGGAGCTGTGGAGGAACCAGGGGAAAGAAGAGGGCCCTGAAGGAGGAGAGGGGAGAGCCGCGGAGCCGGCCAGCTCAGCAGGAACGAAGCAACAGAGCACAAGTGAAACAGCAGCGTAGTAAACTGGGGCACCTTGTAGCACACAGAAGGAGAAGGGTCTTCTCGAGGGAAGGGACAGGTTTTGCCGCTTGCGGATGTGCTGATGAGGGCTGTGTTCCCTGAGGGGCTTTCCTGGCTTTCCAGTGGACCGAGTGGAGAAATCCGCTGTGGGTCCGAGTGAATCTGAGAGGCAGCGTCTGGCTCTGTGTTTGTTGAATTCCTTCTGCTTCGTATCGGTGCCACGGAATACAGCTTTGTATCAGGGAAACTGAGACCTGCTCCAAGAATGCATATTGCATTAGGTGCTATATTCCCGTTCCAGTCCCCTGGCTCCAACATCCGGAATAGCCCAGGTGGGCGCACGCAGGTCCTGCGCTTTGGTAAGCACTATTTTGTGCCCATAGGGAAGGCGAGAAGCCCTGTAATGAAATGAGGAGCCTCCAGCTAAGCTGCTTTCCCTAGGTGCCTCCCCCAGAAGCGCGTGTGTGCAGGTTCAGCCAAGCTGCCTGTTGAACAGCTCGGCCAAAGGCAGGAAGCGAGACCCTCGACCTCTGCAGTGTCCTCATTGTAGACGCATGCATATAATTTCCAGTAATTTAACAGGAGCTTTGGTTTGAGAAAGATTTGGGTTTTATTACTTTCATTCATCATCATTAACTCATGCCATGTGGCGGAGAGGAGGGAATGACATATTTCCGCAATTAGATGCAGTATTTTGCATGAAAAAAAATGAGCTGTTGCAGCAAAAGCTGCTTTTGAAATACGGAATAAAACAAACGGAAACAAAAAGTTGTGATGTGTGCTTGGAAAAGAAGAGTTAAAAGGGGGATATTTTAACAATGAAGTCTTCTTTAAGTTGTGGTTAGGAGTGGTTTAGCCTTCTAACCTATTCCTACTGTGTGTTTGGCTTACTTTCAAGACAGTGTTTTCATCCAGGACCTTGATGCGCTCCTAATGTGCCCCTTATGAACCTGACGTACTTCTGCTTGCTCTTAGAAGGTGCTTTGGCCGGCTCTTCCGAGAGCACCTGGGCGCAGGGCTGCCCTGCTTTGCTGGGGGAGTGTGAAATTTCACTGGATTTTAGCTCGGGTGGCTTTGCCGTGCTTGAGTTTCCATTTAGCTGCGCCCAACAGCGTAACACGAAACACAGCTTGGAAAATCCCGTTTCCTCCATCGGGGATGCAGAAGGGATCGACTCTTCGGGGAAGAACTCAGCGGTTCCTGTGCTTTTGGGCTTGTTTTTCTCCTTTTAAGCTTTTCTCAAGCAAGCGACATTGCAAGGGCCCCATCCTGCTTCCCGTGAAGGAGAAGGGAAGTTTGCCATCAAGTAAGAGGGGCCCAACGCTGGTAGTGAAACCCAAAACCAGGGGTGCTTCGTGTGGTTGAGGTCTGTGCCAGCCCTTTGCACAGCCCTATGTGCTCCCTGGCAGTCTAATGAGGAATATGCATGCGCCCAAACGTGCATTTCATTTTATACCCTGCTTTTTTTCAGCATTTTGCCTTTTCTCCTTGCAATGCATCTCCTGGACGTTAGCCTGAGCTAGTGCTCGTGCTAGCTTTTCTGTTTCCTTTCTTGGGATGTTGGTTTTCTTTCCTGCATGTTCAATTACATGTGCACATTCATCTGTCATTAGTTCCTGCTCACTGGAGGATATTTTGCAGAGCTCTTTACACGGCATTCGTAATATTCTCGTCCATGATTTGGATTTCTTACTGACAGCAAAATTCAATCCTTTTTCTTTTTTTTTTTTTCCTTTTTCTGCTGTTTTATTCATTTTATAGCTCTGCCCAGATAAACCACTTACAACTTCTGTAGTGGAAGTTGAACAATTCAGGTGACTTTTTCCCTTCTAATTCAATTGTGCGTGGAATTCTGTTCAAATTTAGATTTATTGGTACTGTTTTTAAGGCATTTAAAAATGTAAGCTCCTCATTCATCAGGATTTCTCTCGTGATTGCTTTCTTACATTGTTGTCATAATTCTCAGGGCTTTTTGTTGTCGTCGTTGTTGCTCTCACTCTTCTTTAGGAAAATGATCCTCATCTTTTGATTAAGCTTGCCAGCTCATCTCTGCTTCAAAAAAAGTCATTTGTGTCACTGCACTCAATTACCTATGTTAGTAGTTAAGAGTGCAAGTGCAGAGATGTGGGTGGGGGGGAGATTTATGTGTGTATATAAATACATATAAACACATATATATGTATTATCTTCAGCTGTGTGGTGCATGCACCCACTGTATTTGCTCCTCCTTTTTCAATTCCTCAAGTTTTCCGTGCAGCTTTTGTGAATACCCCATCCAGAGGGAGGACTGTCTCTGGACAGGAAGCAAAAATACAGAACCACTTATAAAGGCTAAATTGGAGCCCCCTTTGTTGTGGTAAGCTGCACATGAAAGGAGATAAAGGGAGATTAATGTGATGAGTTTTCTTTACCTGGAGGGGACTGAATCCTTCCCTGCATGGGAGCCTGTGCCCAGTAGCCCAGGGCACAGCCTTTGCCCAAGGAGGCAGGTTTCAGCTTCC